TAAAATCTGTGAAAGTGTAAGAGTACTCCCATACTGTGTCACCTGGAGTTTTTCATTCTCAAAGTGGATCATATGCAGCCTCCAGCAGTTTATTGAAATTATCATTTAAGTGTTCCCACCCTTTACTGGCTATAGTGGCTTCTGTTCAGGTAAACATATTTTGGCTGTGACTCTTTCAATTCACCTGTCTCCCAGATTTCAGGGTGCAAACTCAGTTCTCTGTTTTGTCAAAGAGAAGTCATTGATTTTTAGTTTGTTTAGATTTTTTTCTTACTATAAGGACAGACATGATGACTTTCAGGCTTTTTTACAGGTCAGAGTTGAAACTGAAAATTCTAGAACACTTCTGTGTTTTAGTGTCTTTTCTGTTTTCTCATTTTCCCTTTTCAGATTTTGACCACATTGGTGTAGGTCAGAACTGGTGAAGGATTGTCATGTTAGGAGCAAAGATGGAATCACAGTTTTTTACATTAAGTGTTATTGAGAATGGGATTTATGAACAGATGTTTTGGTTGATGGATAGCTAGATTAATGAAAGGCATTTATCCTTCTGCCTTTCTTATGAGTTCTGGAAGATTCATAGGTATTGCTCTCTTAAAAATATTGGACACACTGATCTAGATCAGGAATTGGCAAACTTCTCCTTAGAGAACCAGATAGAAAATATTTTAGGTTTCACAGGCCATTTTGTCTCTGTTGTAGCTACCCAGTTCTGCAGTTATAGTACAAAAGCTGCCATTGATAATACTTAAATAAGTATGACTGTATTTCAGTGAAAATTTATTTACAAATATGGGCTTTGAGCTGAATTGACCTGGGGACCATAGTTTACCAATTCCTATAGTATCTAATTTAAATTTTTAGAAAAGATCGTATTTATTTATTAGAGAGCGCATAACCATGAGTGGGGGGAGGGGCTGAGGGAGAGGGAGAAGGAGAAGCAGACTCTCAGGGGGCCTGATGTGGGCCTCAATCCGAGGACCCTGGGACAGTGACCTAAGCCGAAGGCCAACAGTTAACTGAGTGAGGCACCCAGGTGCCCCCATTTTTTTTTTTTTAAGATTTTATTTATTCATTTGACTGACAGAGATCACAAGTAGGCAGAGAGGCAGGCAGAGAGAGAGGAAGGGAAGCAGGCTCCCTGCAGAGCAGACAGCCGGATGCGGGGCTCGATCCCAGCACCCTGGGATCACGACCTGAGCTGAAGGCAGAGGCTTTAACCCACTGAGCCACCCAGGCGCCCCCCATTTTTTTTTTTTTTTAATTTTTATTGTGTTATGTTAGTCACCATAAAATACATTATTAGTTTTTGATGCAGTGGGCTCCATGCCCAGCGTGGAACCCAGTGTGGGACTCAAACTCATGACCCTGATATGGAGACCTGAGCTGAAATCAAGAGTTGGAGGCTTGGGATGCCTGGGTGGCTCAGTCGGTTAAACGTCTGCCTTCAGCTCAGGTTCTGATCCTGGTGTCCTGGAATGGAGTCCCACATCAGGCTCCCTGCTCAGTGGAGAGCCTGCTTCTCTCTCTGCCTGCTGCTCCCTGTGCTTGTGCGCTCTCTCTGTCTCACTCTCGCTCTATCTCAAATATATAAATAAATAAAAGAGTTGGAGACTAAATTGATTGAGCCACCCAGACGCCTCAGTAGTACTTAATTTTTATTCTATAGCTTTGGTCTTTGGTATTGATCACAAAGAGAAGATGGCCATGTTTTATTCGTATATTCTGTCACATTCACATATTGATCCATGTTAAGATGAAGATTTTCGTTTATTGATTTGAAGAGTTCCAAAAATCTAAAGGTTTAAGAGACATCACAGGTTGGTGGCTCAATCTATGAGTATAAAAACTACCTCAAAGTTGCCTTGAAAATGTGATTCTTATTCGCTCAGAATAATAAAAAATTCCCAGGCATTATGTAATTTAAAAAAATTTTTTAAGTTAGTTTTTAGCTTTATTTATCTATCTATTTATTTATTTTTATTAAAGATTCTATTTATTTATTTGACAGACAGAGATCACAAGCAGGCAGAGAGGCAGGCAGAGAGAGAAGGAGGGGAAGCAGGCTCTCTGAGAGCCTGATGTGGGGCTTGATCCCAGGACCCTGGGATCATGACCTGAGCTGAAGGCAGAGGCTTTAACCCACTGAGCCACCCAGGTACCCCGTTAGTTTTTAACTTTAAAGTTAGTTTTTAAGTAAGTCTATTTTTATTACTTTACATAATCATGTAGACATGTTAAGTATTTTAGAGGTGGATGACTAAAGCATTGCCCAAGATCAGTAGATGGTAGGGCCAAGACTGTAGTCCAACAGCAATATGACTTTCAGGACAGAGCTCTTTTAACACAATATATTGTATCATTCAAGTCAACTGGAGGTGGAGACAGTAGATTGAAGATTAGTTTTCTTCAAAGGCCAGTTCTGGGGCATTTTTCTTTTCTTTTTTAAAGATTTTATTTATTTATTTATTTATTTATTTACTTACTTACTTACTTACTTACTTTTACTTACTTATTAATTTATTTGAGAGGAGAGGCAGAGAGGGAGGGAATCCCAAGCAGATTCCACTGAACGTGTAGCCCAACCCTGGGGCATGATCTCATGATCTGGAGATCATGACCTGAACCAAAACCAAAAGCCAGATGCCCAATTGATGGAGCTACCCAGGAGCCCCTGGGATGTTATTAATAAGAAAATTGCAGGGCAGGGGGTCCTGGGTGAAGGGAGGGAAAAAATGAAACAAGATGGGCCTGGGGAGGGAGACAAACCATAAGAGACTCTGAATCTTAGGAACCAGACAGGGTTTGTGGGGGAAGGGATAGGGTGGCTGGTTATAGACATTGGGGAGGGTATGTGCTATGGTGAGTGCTGTGAAATGTGAAAGCCTGATGATTCACAGACCTGTAATCCTGGGGCAAATAATACATTATATGTTTAAAAAAAAAAAAAAGAAAAGTGGACTTATGCTGATTATTTCAAATAATTCTGTGTTGGACGTTATTTGAAAGCATTGGGAAGACAGAAATAGGTGTCTAAGTTATCAAAATGAATCAGACAAATGATTTTGCATAAAAATTATAGAATATTTACACTGGAAGGGATCTTAGAGACCATTTAACTTTCAATGATCTAATTTTATTTATTTATTTATTTATTTATTTATTTTTAAAAGATTTTATTATTTACTTGACAGAGATCACAAGTAGGCAGAGAGGCAGGCAGAGAGAGAGGAAGGGAAGCAAGCTCCCTGCTGAGCAGAGAGCCCGATGCGGGGCTCGATCCCAGGACTCTGGGATCATGACCTGAGCTGAAGGCAGAGGCTTAAAACCACTGAGCCACCCAGGCGCCCCTCAATGATCTAATTTTAGAGGCAAACAAACCCGAGACCCAGAGAAGCTAAGTGACTTTGGAGCCACTGTAATTTAATAAAAGAGCATGGTGCTAGAAAGTTATGAGAGTAGTGTGCTGAAACTGGCTTGGGAAAGTCAGTTGTTAAATTTTTGGGAATTTTTGTGAGCCAGTTGTTGAATACATTCATGATTAAAAATTATACAGAAAGATATAAATTATACTGAAAACAAAGATATATGCTCAGATGCATGTTATTTTAACATATATTTTTGTTATTATCTTTGTTCTTGAAATTATTTATGTCTAGTGTAACTATGGTGCAGATGCAGTATGGTGGTGTCCTACCCAGCTCTCTTCAGTGAAGTGACATCAGTAGCTTGAAAATGGCCCTAGGGGAGTATTTATACCACAGAAATAGGCAAATGCTACAAATCACACTCTGTAGTTCCCTACCCCCTTCCATGACCATAGCCAGTTGATTAACCTTTACCAGCATATCACTGGCCATCCCTGGCCATCACTGGCCATCACTTTCATGTTCTGTTCTTGTCTGTTTATGTGCCTGGCCTTGCTGAGTCTCTCGAGGTTTGGAATTTATACCCCTAGGACCCAGCACAATGCTTGGCATATAGTTGGTAGACAAGTGCTTATAGAATGAATGAGTGAACTTCATATTCTTTCAGCTCTTGATTCATATCTGGCTTCATGACTTACCTAGCTGTATGACCTTGGTTATTGTAACCTCTGTTTATTAGTAAAATGAGAATAAGAATACCAGCATTGCACAATTGTTGAAAGGACTAATGAAAAGATCTAAATATATGTCTAGATATATAGTAGGTACAAAAATGTAGTAAAAATTTATGATTACAACCTAAGAAGAAGGAGACATAAATGCTGTTAGGGTCCAGACTTATACTGTATGCAGAGCTTTGTATTAAGTGTTTGACCACAAACTGGATGAGAATCAAGAATGTGGCACTGTTATTTTTGTGTGTGTACATACTTCTTCTCCTTCCCACACAAAATAATGGGATATATTAAAAGGAATATGATATATAAGAGGCAGGAAGCAATCCCTCTGTTATATTTGGCTTTGTTCAGGCTCTTATTACAGTATCATGTCCAGTTTTACATTGCTCATTTTAAAGAGGATGTCAAAAAACTGTACGTAGTGTGTCCTGGGAAGAACCCAACAACTATGATTAAAGGGATAGAAAATAGGTCCTTTGAGGCAAGTTTAAGGAATTGAATTTGTTTGTTCTGGAAAGGAGACGGTAAAGGAGTTACTTAACTATCTTCAAGTACATGAAGGGTTATTATGAGGAGGATACTCTCATGTTGTTCTCCAAATGCACAGAGGACCAAAAGAGGAAATCGACTTATTTCATTTAAAGAAAATTGTGTTAAACACTAAAATTGACTATCAAGGGATGTCATGGACTCTCCATTTTTGAAAATATTTAAAAAGAGCAGCAGCAGATGGCTATTTATTGAAAGGCTTACATGTTCGACCTCATGAAAGTTACAGGCAGGATTTGGACCTTGCAGCTTTTTCACCTCTATGATATGGTTTTCTTATATTCATTGTAACTTGCCATGCATGTGCCAGGTATCTTACAAAGATTCTGTAACTCTTTTGTGACAGGGAATCCTCTTGGTATATGATATTACAAATTATCAAAGCTTTGAGAATTTAGAAGATTGGTATTCTGTGGTGAAGAAAGTGAGCGAGGAGTCAGAAACTCAGCCACTGGTTGCCTTGGTGGGCAATAAAAGTAAGTTATTAATGCTTATTTATGTATAGTAGTTTATTTGCCTATCCCATAGTCTTTTTTCCTACCAAAATGTTAATGTTTAGAAACATCAAAGATGCAGCTTTCCTGGAGTAAGCACATTAGTTGAGAACATTTTTAAAGATGTATATAGTCTTTTCAGTAAGAGTTTTGATGCTTGCTTGATTTGTCATAACTGCTCTGCTGCTTTGGCCAGTGCCTGTTCAGGTAAGTTCTGTTCTGACCATGTGTGTTTTGGCTTCCTGTGGACTGAGGAAGCAGCATGGACTATTAAGAACAGTAACACAGCTGCAGATTTTATGATACTGCACTGCAGCTTCAGCTCTGCCCCAGAGATTTTGAGAGATAGATTTCATTAAATGGTCCCCTTTTCTAGGAAAGAAAGCAGTGTTTGGGTAGAATTTTGTATGCATTATTTCTTGTTCCCATCTCTCATAAACTTCCCTTTTTAAATTTTTGGGGTTTGTTCTAAAATACAGATTTTTTTTTTTTTTATTAAGGAAAGATTGTATTGAGAGATGAGTAGTGCTTGCTAAAAATGGTGGATAAGTAATTTTTGAGATCTGTCTCTTGGGCTATGATATATAGCATATAAAATTATAAGACTGAATTTAGTATAGGACTGTTAGTTGGTTCATAGTCCTACAGTGTAGTTACCTGGAAAAATAGACATTAATAAGGGTTTTTAAATATAAAATATTATGATACAACCTAATCTTCTATAACTATTTGAGGTCAGAAAAAGAGAAAATGAATTTAAATTATACCATGGAGGATTTAGGTCAGGAACAGTTTCCTGACTACAAGCATTGTTAAACCAATACCCAAGTATACTACCAGGAGAATTGTCTTCTCCAAAGGTCTTTAAAAGTGTAGTGCATTTTTGTGTGTGTAATTATTTAGGAAATAGTACTTCCTGAAGGACTAAACCAAGATTTCTTCATTATGTGCTTTTGCACACTTAGATGAACATTTAATAAATCCAAGCCTTACTTTAAAATCATTATAAAACAGGTGTGGATACCATTTCTCTGAAGAGTTAAAAATACAAATTTTATAATACTTTTTTAGAAAATAGTATTATATATCATGAAATGGGTGTCTTGAGTAAAAGATAGAGTTTTTTAAAGCTTTAGTTGAATTTTCCTCTTCTGTTCCATAAATAGTTCTAATTGAATGAATCAGATGCTTTTAAAGTCATTGAAATTCTTCCTTAGAAAGTTTTGATGACCTTAGATTCTATTTCTGAGTGCAGCTATTCGTTTTAGGAGACCATTTCTTTGTTGTCATGTTACTGAAGCACTAGCATGTATTATGGTTAAATTTGTGCTTTAGTAGCAGTTTCTCATCACCTTTTAGGAAAGTATAGAGTAGGAAAGGGTTGGGGGTTGAGGCTTGTTTTCATTTCTTTCAAGACAAAATGGTGTAGTGGTACATAATTATATATGTTATGTGTTTATGCGGTCCTGTGAGGCATCAGCCATTAGTCACTGTCAAAGAGAGGCTATCAGACTAGGTGGACTGTTGGACTGTTCTGGTGATGCCATTCCTAAATTTTAAAAATAAACATTTATATAAGTTATATGAATTTATGAAAAAAATATTAGTGTTATGTTTGAGATTTAATAGCATAAAAAGTTGAGTTTTTTTAGCTTTTGGCTTAGCTCAAACCCCTTCCTTGTATTTATAATACTCTTTTTCAGAATGAGATCATAGAATAAAGTATGCAGTCACACAGAATGTTACAAGAAGATGTAACATTCATGTAACATTCAATGTATGTAACATTGAATGTAACATTGAATGTAACATTCAATGAAGAGATTATAAGATGAACATTTTCCTGGATATTATTTACTGCATACTGTCACTGGGCTGATTTCATATTGGTCATGTAATAAAAGATCTTGAAATCTGTGTTTCCAAGTTGATGTTACATTAGTATAGTAGTATGTTCTCACCTTCTGTTTGGGGGCCAAAATTATATTAAAAAGCAAAGATTTTACATATGGATTAAAGGCAAAACAAAAGAAACATGATGGGAAGATATCTGAAACTGGATTATTATGTTCCTTATCTATAGAGAGTCATCTAACTAAACGTGCTTTTTAAAACTCATCATTGTGTCCTTTTCTTTGCAACTTAGAAAGTTGCAGAATAGAAAGCATATGTTGAAAAGAAGTATGTATGAAAATATTGGTAGCAGTAGCCAACTTTTATTTCATTTTTAAAAAGATTTATTTATTTATTTTAAAGAGAGAGCATGTGTGCATGTGAGCGAGTGAGTGAGCTGGGGGGCGGGGGGTAGGGGTAGAGGGAGAGGGAAAGAGAGAGAATCCTAAGCAGACTCCATGCTGAGTGAGAAGCCTCATGTGGAGCTTGATCCCACAACCCATGAGACCATGACTTGAGCGGAAATGAGTCCAGTGCTTAACTGACTGAGCCACCTAGGTGTTCTAGCAATAGCCAGCTTTTAGCCAAAGTTTAGCAGAAAGATAGGATAGACAGAAAATTTCTATACAGGGAGAGAGAGGGAGAGAGAGAAGGAAGGAGGGAGGGAGAGGAGAGGGATTGCGTACATATGTGTGTGTATGTGTGAATTTGTATTATAGGAAGAGTTTATAATGTTATAAAATCATTTGCTTTTATTAAAATATAGTAAACTCACAAAAATTTGGGCTAAGGATTGAGGATAGTCTTAGGTAAGGATGAGTTATGGGTTTACTTTTATTAAAAGTTGTGTTTTATTATGTTTAAATATAAAAAGTAACTGGAATAATTAAGTAGCCAGTAGAGGAAGGGATTTGCTTTTATGAAATAGAATTGGTAACAACTAAATTATTTCAGTGTATAATGCTTAAAACAAATTTATTTTATTCTATATTCTGTTCTTAAAGGCTGTAAGACATTAGTGTTTTTTCTTTGTACTATTTAAGATTTTATTTTTTTTTATTTTTTTAAGATTTTATTTAGTTACCAGAGAGAGAGAGAGAGAGCACAAGCACACAACGGGGAGGAAGAAGGAGACCCCCCCCCCCCCAAGAGTGGGGAGCCTGTTGCGGGGCTCGATCCCAGCACAATGGGATCATGACCTGAGTTGAAAGCAGACGCTTAACTGACTGGACCCCTGTACTATTTAAATTTGTGTTGAGTTATGGTTAAGATCATAGGGCTTTAAATTTCAGGGTACTTTGCTTTTACAAGCCCGGTTTCTTCATTTAATAGCAGTGTTATAGCAGAGTTTACTTTGTATCTGCATACCTCAACTTCCTCATCTGCAGGTAAGGATAATAGCTTTTGTCTGATAAAGTTGGTTTAAAGTTTAAATGAGATATTACATGGAAAGCACTTAGTCTGTAATCTGTATACTGTAAATCCTCAATAACTGTTATCATCACCATTATCATTCATAATAGCCTTTTAAAAAAAACTGATTATAGCTTCAATGTAAATGATCACATTACAAATTAGTAGAGCTGAAACAGATATCTTACAGAAGTGGCTTGTATGTAAAGTTCCTAGAGAATCCCTTTGTCATCATCTTATGCCTTGGGTTTTTATTTTGTTTTGTTTTGTGTTTTAGATCAATACTTCTCATACCATGCGATGGGTGGAGCAATTCAATTCAGCAAACATTCTGGAGTGCCAGCTATGTGTATTCAGTTAGACGCTTATTTGCACAAAGGTTTAGACAAAGAGAGTGCTTAAGGGGTGATAGGGACCTGTTAACCTTAATTTTAACCAAATTAATTAAGTCTTAGTTTTATTCTTTTGCTTAGCTGCCTTCAAGTTTTCTAAAAAATTGACTGCCTTTCTTTTGCTCTATTTGGTTGTTGGGATTAATAAATATAATTATGTCTAAATCTTCATGAAAGGCCCTGCTTTTCCTTAGCGAGGTAAGCATAAATTCTTGATAGGTAACTTCCAAAATAGGAAAGAGGGTAAGTCACGTACTTATTCTATGCACTTTACTGAAGTGCTGTTGAAGTTTGATGGAGTCTGCAGCCCAGTGTGGAATGAAACAATTGATAGACACCTGGAAACCATTCTGTTGCTATTTAAGACGATTTCTGCAATTCAGGAAGTCAGATTTACCAGGTCTGGTACCTGATTTCCTGGCCTTGAGAGCGTTGCTCTCTCACTTGATCAGAGCCTGCACCTCGGAGTCTCAAGGTTTTCTATTTATGTCTGCTTCCAGGTTTATTACAGGTGGACTTGGCAATGGCTTAACACACCATCATCACCTCTCATGTGAACTACTGCAGTAGCTTCCTAACTGTCCCTCCTGCTTCTGGCTTTGCCTTCCTGTAGTCCACTTCCCAAATGGCAAATCATGTTATTCTGACTCTTCTAATGCTTTCTCATCACACTTAGAAAACATATTCCAAACTCCTCATCCAGATTTACCAAGCACTAGGTGATCTGGCTCCTCCCTGCCTCTTGCCACTATATGCTAAGGCACACGTCTTTTTTTCTGTACTTAAAACATTCTAAGTTAATTTGTACTATAGGATTTCTTCTGCTTGAAATACTTCTGGTCTTTGCTTGACTAGCTCCATTTTATCATTTGGATCTCATCTTAAATGTTATCTCCTCAGAGTTGCCTTTCGTGGCCACTCAGTGTAAACAGGCCATGCAGTCCCTTTCTCAAGACACTCGGTTTCAATTATCTGTGGAGCATCAGTGACATCTGATGTTCTTGTTTGTTCCTTATCTTCTTTCCCCACTAAAATGTAAGCTCAAGGAAACCTAGGGACCTCATCACGGAGAACAGTGCCTGAATGAATGAATGTTGAATGAATGAATAAAAGCCTTTTCATGAAGCCTTCATTGAAGTATTTATGGCCTGGGATGTGTTATTAAGGGAAAATGATTTTTTTTAATGAGGAAAAATACATGCGTAGATACAGGGAAATCTGTTAAATGACCTTCAGCCCAACTGGCCTACTGAGTTCCACCTTGGTGAACAACTTCAGAGTTTC